CCCCAAAACCCCAAAACCCCAAAACCCCAAAACCCCTTAAGATCCACATTTTATTGAAACTTATTGAAATGGTTTGCCCATCTTCACGAGTTAATTTCCAAATAATGTAACTGAGTTTTCATTAAGTAAGAAATCTCTCTTTGGGAAGATCTCCAGCAATACTATCTTTTCATTTGAAGTAAAGAAAGCAATCTTTGTGAACAAATTGAAAACTTTCTTGCCTATGATGTCTGGGTTCAGGGCATAATTCATCTATAGTATTACTTATTATTGCCATAATTTTGTGATAGAGATCATTCAAATTGTAGAACCAAGTCCTTAGCCCTAGAACGGCTCAGAACTTGGACAATTTAAAATAGCCATTATTGTGATTCATAGAAATTACTTACGATGAAGAAAGTGATCATTGCTGAGTAGCTGTAAAGACCCCAGTCTTTAGGCTTGGGAGCAATTCCATTGCTTTCAAGAGTTGATAAGAAGGAATCTATGGCGTTTGCGAAGAAGTAATAGCATATTAGCTTTCGGATAGCTGAGTTTTGCTCCATCACGACAGTGATGGAGCTCAGCAGCCCGGCTATTAATGAGTTATACTTATCATCCTTTTTCCTTAATCCTCTTAGAAGACAGAGCACTGCTCTGTATATGAAAGTAATGCTCGATGCGAATAGGCCAAAAGAGAAAGCTGTTTTGGAGAAGAGAGCTTTCAGAATAAGCCTGAGATCTCTCTTTTTCAGTATAGTAAACAGCAGCAAAAGCCCTGATCTGAGGCAGTATCCTTTCAGAAAATTGGAGGTGAAGCCCTTCACACAATGCAAGAGACATCTAGAAGTATATTAGACCCACACAAATGTTCTGGGATTCTTAGAAGATAAATTTAGTTATTCTAGGAATAGGGCTTACGAAGAATCTGCCCCGTGCTTGCAAAACTTGGTGTGCTTGTGCCTGAAGTTGCTGAAAACATCCATTATTTCGTGTTCTAAAGTGGGTAATTTATGAATGAATAAAAATTACGTACTTGACATGATTTTTCAATTTTAATATTCTTTAAGGGGTTTTGGGGTTTTGGGGTTTTGGGGTTTTGGGG